ACACACGCTCTAATCCTCCTCCTCGTCCACTTGCCCCTATTCCTCTTCCAAGTTTCCTCGTCCTCTTTTGGGGCGTACACCCATGCTTAGAGTCAAGAGCCTTTTAATCTAAGGGCATGGACTTTGCTTGGACCTACGAGCATTCTACGAACAAGAAGAAGCTCCCAGAAAATGCCCAGGGTCCAATACATATTCTTGATTTCTCTAAAGAAACCTGGAGGCCATGAAGATTAATGTGTTTTCAGGTTTCTGGTGGGTGTACCACCGCTTGACCACTTACAACGACTTGCACATGCGGGGCCACGTGTGGCTCACCCGTCGAGAAACCACCTGGCAACCCCGGGAAATACGGAAGCATCGGGCGCTGTGAGCAGTCTGGACCTAGCAATATACGGGACACGCGCGTTGCAATTCACTGGTATCTGCCGCTTCCCACTTCGTGCCATCTCAGTCACACTGCCAACGTGCAAGACCCTAGCGCCACAGTTAGTGGGCTTGCCCTTGGAGATTCGGGCCACCCCTCAACCGCGCAGTGCGAAACCTGGTTGGGCGTCTTAGCGCCTGCATCACGTGCGACGACCGTCGGATGAATCTAGAGACATGCTCTACTTATGAAGCTCTCTCCAGCGCTGCTTGTTGGAGGCGAAACGGCAGAACTTTGGAATCAAGCCTATACTCGACGTATCAAATGTAATGTAAATAAGACTGCGCAGACGGAGCCGATGGATCCCTGCGACAAGGTACGTTCGATGCGCCAAGCAATGGACGAAATGCCCAAGGCATCTGCGTAAACGCGCCACTTTTGAACAATTTGCACATACAATGGTGCGTTTTGCCCACCTGGTCAGAACTACCGGGCAGCTCAGAACAATCAGGGTTAGCACTTTGGGCCAGCACGTCCACGATACATTCGTGGTGCAATTCCCTAGTATATACCCGTTTTCTTGAACCTTGCCCACCTGCCACCCCCTTGTGCCCCCGTTGCTGAAGGTTTGGGCCGCTCCTCAGTCACGTAAAGCAAATCCCGACTGGTTAGTCCTACTCTATACACCCTCCTCCTGATCCTCCTCCTCATCCTCCTCGTCTCGCTCCTGCTCGTCTTCAATTCCCTCCTCCTCCTCCTCCTCCTCCTCCTCCTCTTGCTCGCTCCACTTCCTCTCCATGTCCTCCTCTTGCCCCTCCATCTGTTATCTGTTCGTGCTGCTGCTCCTGCTCCTGGTGCTGCGTATCCTACTCATCGTTCTGCTTCTCCTGCTCATCGTCACTTTCTGGCTGGTCGCCTTTCGTGGGAAACAAGCCGATGTGAGCGAGGCCGGCACCCCGGGACCCACGACACGAGCAACGGTTCGCAAATGGCCGGTCGAACACAGAATTAGAAGTCCGAGGCCGTTGGCCCGAACGCAGGAGGAGTGGGGGGGATGGGAGGGTCGACGACAACATGACGAAACACAGCACGCGCTCAACCCTACAGGGGGGAGGAATCGGGAAGGGCAAGGAGATGAATGCGCTGCAAAAGCATGGGTGTGGGTTTTTCGGGGGCTCCCGTTCGAGCGGGGGCCCTCCATCCGACAGCACACGCCCATAGCCCCCCCCCCACGGAAGTCCACCCCGAAGAAGCCAGGGGCCACACGGGTGTGGGTGTTAGCTGTCTGCTCGTGGCAGCCGTCGACGCACTCATGGCCTGCCATAGCTTGTACTGGCCGTTAACCAAAGCCGACCCTACACTCTTGAGTCACTGCTTCACCGTCCCCTCCGTCAGCAGCCAACAGCTCGTGTGCATCACTTGCCCTACCTTCGCGATGCAACTCCTGAGCGTGAGTCTGAACCTGCCGTCATGCGAAAGCTTCGTGGTCTTCGACGTCGATGCTCACTCCGCGTCCGACGCAAAACCCATTGAAACGAAAGCCTGGTCTCCAGCAGAATCCGACTCATCACGCGAATCGTGCTCCGGGCGGCGAAATCGAGTGGCAAGTCCTCTTCTGGCCCCGAGTTGGCCATTTGCTGCAACCCGAGCCAAATCTGTGACGTGAGAGGCTACAACCTGGACTTGCAGGTCACATGATCTGATCATGGATGGGTGCGGAATGTAGAAGGAAGCAAGTGGAACTTGTAGCACACGATAACGTACCTTGTGCAAAAGTGTCTCGGCACAGACAGAACTAGCGCCGGATGGCTCAGTATTTTTCCAATTCAAATTATCCCACAGCGACCCTAGCTAGGAGTTGGAGCCCCAAGGAGAGCAATATTAGTAGTAACGGTAAACGCCGTCCTCCTCCTTCTCCTCATCGTCGCAGTTGTAGCAGTAGCGGTAGTAGTAGTAGTAGTCGTCGTCGTCGTCGTCGTCGTCGTAGTCGTAGTAGTAGTAGTAGTAGTAGTAGTAGTAGTAGTAGTAGTCGTAGTAGTAATAGTAGTAGTAGTAGTAGTAGTAGTCGTAGTAGTAGTAGTAGTAGTAGTAGTAGTAGTAGTAGTAGTAGTAGTAGTAGTAGTAGTAGTAGTAGTAGTAGTAGTAGTAGTAGTAGTAGTAGTAGTAGTAGTAGTAGTAGTAGTAGTAGTAGTAGTAGTAGTCGTAGTAGTAGTAGTGTAGTAGTAGTCGTAGTAGTAGTAGTAGTAGTAGTAGTCGTAGTAGTAGTAGTAGTAGTAGTAGTAGTAGTAGTAGTAGTAGTAGTAGTAGTAGTAGTCGTAGTAGTAGTAGTAGTAGTAGTAGTAGTAGTAGTAGTAGTAGTAGTAGTAGTAGTAGTAGTAGTAGTAGTAGTAGTAGTAGTAGTAACAGCACAGCTAATACCTACATCTACATCTATACCAACATCCACATCTACACCTACAGCTACATCTACATTACATGCATCTACATCTACATGACTCACATCTACATCTACATCTACACCTACATGTACATCTACATCTACATCTACACCTACATCCACATCTACACCTACACCTACATCTACATCTACACTTTCGCATTGGTTTTGCTTTTGCTTTGCATTGCCTTTGCTATTGCTCTTGCCTTTGCTTGCCTTTGCTTTGCTTTTGCTTTTGCTATTGCTGTTGCTTTTGCTTTGCTGTTGTTTTTGTTTGTGCTTGGTTTTGCTTCTGCATTGCCTTCGCACACACACAGACACACGCATGCTATTGCATATGCTATGCTAATGCTGCGCTAAGCTAAGCTAAGCTGAGCTAAGCTAAGCTAAGCTAGGCTAGGCTAGGCTAGGCTAAGCTAAGCTAAGCTAAGCTAGGCTAGGCCAGGCTAAGCTAAGGTAAGCTAAGCTAGGCTAAGCTAAGATGAGATAAGCAACGCTAAGCTAAGGGGGCGCAACTGGGGGAACCGCGGGGCGGATACTGGGGGAACCGTCCGGGGCGAGGACCACTGCCCGGCCCTTTAAGCATACACGGTAATAACCCTTCTAGGCAGAGCCTAGGTTGGGAATATTCTCTCAGGGCGACGCTCCACTTTGCCCCCTTGCGTGAAATCCTTTTTGGGAGCCGCCGCGCATAGAAACACATTTCCAGCGCTTGGTATGACCTGTAATACGGCCAGAATGTCCACCGAGATGGCTCCGAGATGGCCTGAGAAGGCTGCAGGAAATCCCAAGAAGGACTCCGATGGGTGCCCTCAAGAGGGAAACACCATCCGTATACATTAGGTGTTTGACGAACGAAAACGAAGCGGTTCCCCAAGAACCGTTCCCCCAAAACCGCAATGTGGTCCCAAGACTGCCCCAAGAGGGCCCAAGGGAACACAAGACGGCTCAGGACGCGCTCAAGTCAGCGCCAAGCCACCCCAAAGACAGCCTCCAAGGATCCCGAAGGCCCATGAGCCTCCCAAGACGACCTAAGAAAGCCCCAAGATATTCCCACACGGATCCCAAGGCACTCCACTGCACTCCTCTCCTCCACTTCCCATCCTGGAGGTGCTGAAGACAACTAAAGAGAGCCTCATGACCCAAGACGGCCCACGGCGCCCCGGAGGCAACCCCAACGACAATATAATCACTAAGGCTCCAGAGTCCCAAGAGCGTCGCAAGATGGCCCGAGACGGCCCTCACAAGGCCTAGGAGCGCCCCACGACATGCGTGTGCCTGCTGCCAACACGACTGGAACTACTCCACTTCACCTCGCTCCGCCCCATCCTTGCCGCACTGTTCCCACCCTCACGCCGATCCACATGAACTGCTGCATCCCTTTCAGCCTCGGAGACCCGTAAGGCCATGACACCCCTGAGCTCTGCGAACTCATCCAGCCCGCGCGTTCCTTGTACGCTCTGGAACCATTGAGCCCGGTAAGCTTCGTGAGGTCGATAAGCCCGAAAAGGCATTGAAGCTTCACTCACCACATCGGCGACATGGAACCTATGAACTATATGATGCGACTCCGGAACATGTGACGCCCCTGAACTCCGTGACCTCTTCCATACCGCATGAACCCTATAAACTTATGAGCCCCATCAGAAGACTGCCGAGAAAGCCGAGACTCCCAGAATCCTCCTCTACAACGCTTCTCATATGGAGCGTCACCGCCTTCGCGTAGTCCACGGCATGCTTGGCCTCTGCAGCTAGGCCCCCCGATGCGGGTGCAATGCAGATCCTGACCGACACATATTCGGGAACCGAATAACGCTCCGCTTCGTCTGCCATGACCAGTCATTGAAAACTAAAGGCGTCCGAGGAGGAAGAAGAGGCAGATAACGACCCGAGACATTGCCGGCGCTTTCGGGATCTTCTTTCCGGTCGGGAGATCCACCACGAACCTTGCCGTTTTCGCGATCGAAAGGTTCGCTTGGGGGGACGAGGTCATATTCGGAGCTCCTCCTTCTCCTCGCCTGAAGCGGAGGAGTCGGTGAAGCTGGTACACAAGAAAGGTGCGCTCCCGATCGGCATCCTGGAGACGTGTCAATGACACAACCCCCAGTCAGGTCTTGGCGCATGCGACACTCCAAGAAGGCGGGCAGGATGTCAGAGTAGCAAGCACCGAGTCTTAGCGAATGCTGGCGGCCCCGACAGGATCTACCCCGAACCACCTCGAGAGTCTGCGCACGACCAGGCGCGCGACACTGCTCTGAAATGCCGACCCAGTCGACGTGTGTGAGAGGCTTTTCCGTTCGATACTTGCGGGCCATCTTTCCCGTTTCGGTTTTTTGGTTCTGTTCGACGGTCGACAGCTACTCCGACTATTTTCCACCCATATCGTCAACAACTACGGTAGATCCAAAGGAAACCTCTTCCCTTTCATCCCTCCCCCGCCGCGGTGGGGGCTTCTGGGCGGGGTGGTGGGGGGGGCGGGACGGGTGGGGGGGGCACCCCGGGGTCTGTGACTCCCCCCTTCTGGGGGAGCACCCTTCCGCGGGACAAACTTTGAGCTTTTCGTCCTCGTCTGCCTTGGGAAGCCTTCCCGGGACGTCGGGGTCGACAGTGATGACAAGTCGGCTCTGAGGCAGGGGCCCAACTATCCGGGGCGGCCCCCGAAGAGAAAAACGGAACGCTGGAAGTCTGCATGGCCGAGGATCCTGAGGGAGGGGGAGGGGAAGGGGGAGGAAAGCGGCGGCAACTGGGCCGATAAGACATGCCTTATCGCGCGCAGCAACACTGCCGGGCCAAGGAAGGCGCCCGGCTTCAGGGGGCAGCCTCACAATCTTTTCAGCAGGGTGTAGCGAGAACTAGGGAGGAGAGACGGGAGGGAGGAGGGAGGAGGGAGGCGGAGCAGCAGAATGAGGACGGAGGGATGAGGGAGGAGGGAGGGAAGGGCGAGGCAGGAGGCAGGAGGGAGAAGTAATGAGGCATTCTGGAGGAGGGAAGAGAAGGGTCCCTCATAACTTCTGACATCACGTAGTGGCACTGAGAGCTGGCATTTGAAGATACACAGGACGACAAGGAGCACGAAGGGCCCGAACTGGAGGAACAACTTCACGACCACCGCATGCCACCAGTTTGAAAAACAAATCAGTGCCCTCCACTTGAACGCCATGCACGACAAACGACAGAGAACGTGACACATCAATGCTCCACCAAATTGTTGTTTAGCTCGAAAAAGATTTACCACACTGGTTGAACGGATCACCTCAGTCTTCTATGCACACTCCCGCACGCAACTTTGACCACCACCACGCACTGAAGCAAATTGAAGGGTCACCGAGGACATGCAGGATATGACAAACGGCCACACGGCACTGCCTGTTGAGGCGCACCCTGGTGCTACCCAGATAACACGGCCAAGTTATGCCCACGCAAGAACAACGTGTGTGGGCGTATACCTTCTCCTCTAGCCCGCTGTTCGAAGTACCGGAAGTATGACTCACGAAGGTTCAGTTCCATCTTTGAGATACATCCTGTGAGGGCACCAAGCCATCAACTCTGCGACCAACTCTGAATTCAGTGATGCTGCAAAGCGGAAGGGCAGCCTCCACACAGCACCCCCGAAACGAAAGAGTGAGATGCACCCCCCGTGCAGTGATGGGAGATTGCAGCACTGTGTATGACAGCGCCTGACATGACAGGGGGTCGAACCGAAACATGCACATGAACTGGCGTCCGACGTATGGTTGACGAGGTAACCGCTGGCAGACATGACGCCCACAGTGGACAACTGACAACAAAACACAACACGCCACAATCATAAAGGGATCACATTCCCGTGCAGCTGTGGGAGACTATTGTCTTGAAGCTGATGGCGCTGGCAAAACGCCACCAGCGCAGGAAGATGCACCCAGCATACTTGCTTGACTGATGATGTGGCTACCAACAGCTTCCAACCGAAGGGGCGAGGTGAGGTGAAGGGGGATGTGAGGGAGGAGGGGAGACGAGGAAGGGGGCGGGGAGGAGAGCCAGCGTCGAGCGAGGGTCAGTGACGTAACACGGCGCGTCCTCGCCTCATGCCGCGTGCATCGGGCATCTTGCGCTGCCGCACTCGCTGTTTCTACTAGTCTGGGCCGACTGGCGCGGACGACCAGAGGACGGGACGCAAGAATATACAGCGAACGAAATGGGCCCGAAAAGCCGAGGGGGCGATGGGAGGGAAAGCAGAGAGAGGGGACAACCGACGCGCACATGCACAGACAGCGGCCCCGCGTGCGCGCCCCAGAACGTGTGGAAGCAGAGCTAGATGATGTACGGCCCGGTGGTCGTTCTAAGACGCAACATTTTTCGCCGCCAACTCGAATCCGCCTTGTTGATGGGTGTCACGCCCGCTGGAGTCGACCTCAGCAATTAAGAACGCCCAAACATCTTTGCACTCGCCAGTCGCGGCAAACTCCCTGGCATAGCGGAGGACCTTGAGGCCAAGATATCGACCCACCTCGCCACCCTAGCGCCCTCCAGCTCGAGGCGGATCCGCTTGACCGTGTCTCCCACGGCTTGTGCCAGCTTCGCTGCCCCCTGCGACAAAGCCTGGGCGTTCGAGGCTGTGACCAACGTTGCGATTTTCAACATGTCCTGCGTCACCCCCGTCTACCACGAGCTGGCGCGCCTCGCCTGTCGCTTGCGCTGGCGTCGTCCGTCTCTGACAGCAAGATGCCGCGGTGGCTGCGGTATCTGATCGCATTGCAGTCGGGAGCCCGTTAGAGGTACAGTCCCGACCAGGCGCAGCACTAGTCCCTCTATGGTACCGCAACTACTCGGGGATCTACTGACCCGGGTCAATTCAAACGCGGGTCAGTCAGGCCTTGCAGGATTCTGCAAGATCCTGCAGGGTCCTGCAAGATCCTGCACCCAAGCCCGGGTCAGTGCACCCCTGGCCCTGCAGGATCCTGCAAGATCCGGCGCTCTGACTGACCTCCGTTTGCATTGAACCCCGCCCCTGGAGCCCCGTTAAATCTGTGACCCACGATTGCAGGTGAGTCTGGCGCAGGCGCTGGGCCTACCCAGCAAGTGGGCACTGGCCCCCTAAAAGGTACGTGTGCGCGAACATGACGAACCACACGCCACGCGCACATGAGTTTGTAAAGTCAGAGCCTCGCTCGCTGCCAGTCAAGAGGTTGGGCTGCCTGATTGTTTCCATGGCAGCACCACTCTATTGAAACACGTCGCCGGTGTCGTACTCCAGAGCCGCGGCCTCGGAGCTGGACCTGATTGGCGTGGGGAATGCGACATTTGGCTCGCAACTCATTATCCCTCCGCGGCGGTCCTGCTTCAACCGCCCCGAGGAGGAGAAGGAGGAGGAGAAGGAGGACGACGAGGGAGGAGGACGAGGAAGGATGAGAGAACGGGACAGAGGAGGTAGGAGTGAGATGGGCAAGGAGGGAAGGTGATGAGAGGAGATAGGGTGGAGAAGAACAGAGGGGCAAGTGATGAGGGAGAAGGTGGATGAGGAATGATGATGGACAAGGAAGGAAAAACAGAGATGATGATGCTGATGCTGCTGCTGCTGATGATGATGATGATGATTATGCTGATGAGTATGCTGCTGCTGCTGATGATGATGATGATGATAATGACGATAATGATGATAATGATAATGATAATGATAATGATGATGATGATGAAGATGATGATGATGATGATGATGCTGATGATGATGATGATGATGATGATATGAAGGAGGCGATGAAAGGGAGAGGAGGCTGGGATCAGGGACGAGGAGGAGATAAAGGAGGGTGGAGGGAAGATAGGAACGGAGGAGGGAGGACTGCGGAGTAGGAGGCGCTGAGGATGAAAAGGGAAGTGCGAAGGAAGAGGGGAAGGATGAGAAGGAGGAGGGACGTTATCACCAGGATGGCCTCGAACATGGCCAGCTTCCCCTGGGCACTGCGCGCGGCGCGACGTAGCCTGGCCTCGGCCTCCTCCTCGGCCTCGGCGAGCGCGCGCGCGTTGCCACGGTTCCCCTCAAGGCTGCTCGAGGGCATTGAGTCGCTCCAAGCTTCCATCCTTCCTCCTCCTCCTCCTCCTCCTTTTTTCCTCTCTTATCGCCTGGCAACACCCGTGTGCGCCTTGGGGGGAACAACGTCTGCTCAAAACCACCCGGTCAGGGGGGTGGTGGGTGCCATCGGTAGCCCAGGGGACCCGACCCACATAATGGGCGGGGGAGGCTCGTGGATGCGTGGCACATGGCTTACACGCCGCGTGCACTTGCACCGCGTGCCCCGCGCGGTCGCTCGGGGTTCCAAGGCCCCCGAACTGTTGACAGGCGGGAGGCGTGGGGCGGCACTTTCGCGTCGATATCTGAAGGCGTAAGTTCGCGAGAAGGACTCCGCGGTGAGGCCAGCGTTTTTTTCGCTGCGTTTTGTTTTCTTCCTCTCGCGGGCTGGATCGCGCAAAGTTTCACAAAATTGTGGTTTTGTCACCTGCCTGCCGCTGCGTGCTCTCGACTCCCCCTCTTTCTCCCAGAATGGGTATGGCCCCAAAGTTCTTTCAGATGGTAATCTGTAGCCGGGGCCATGCTTGAAAGAGGGCCAGCAGATTAACATGCGATAGGTGTCATTTGTGATATGATCTTCATTTCGTGCAAAACAGCTTGACGCACATGATGCATCTCCTCTTCCCCCAGCCCAAGGGGCACATTCGCAAGGGTCTTGTAGAGGGGCTGTCTCTCGACGCTGGCGGATGACATGGCGGCGCGCGTGCCGTTCCTTTGAACTACCTACGAAACGCGGCCTGCGCTCCGCGGTTAGCACTGGCCCCCCTCCTTTTCAGGAGGCATCTCGAGCTTGATTCAAGCGCCCACAGCGGCGGGCATACGGATGATCGAACATCGCAGGCAGGGGCGAATTTGATCGACTCCTCCCGCGTCGGGCACCGGGCCGCCGCGCCTCCGCGCGGTGGCCTTCAGCGCGCCGCGCCTGGGAGCGCTGGCCCCGAAAACCATTCTGCAGCTGTGGCCTTCCGCGCGCTGCCCACTCCCGCGGCAGGAGGCGAAGGCCCGGCTGCTCGAGAAACCCCGAATTCATTCGTCAGGCCCGCGGGGCACCCCAGCGCTGATTGCTCAGTCGCACGGATGTTTCCGCAGCTCGCGACGACCTCGATTGCCCTCTGCTCCAGCCACCGTTGTTCATTGTCTCTCTTGTCACACTTCTTCTCAGAGTCGCGCGGCCACGAAGAGTGGCCATGTTCGCCCTTCCTCTTCCCGGATTTGTCTGTCCATCATCTTCGCGCCATCATCTGCCTGAGCTCCTGTCACCACCGCTGGCGCTGCCAGCTTCGCGGTGCCTGCTCTTGCCGCTCGACGTCCAGTCGCCGCCACTGGCGCAGCCAATGTCGCCAGCTCTGCTGTGCCTTTTTTTCGTCTTCATTCTCTCGGCCCCCGCTTATGTCGTTGTCCAATTGGTCGCCGGACTTGTGGGCGCTCCACCCGCCTCTTCCCTTGCCATTGTCGCGCTCCTTCCCCTTTTGGCCGGGCCGCCTAATTTCCGGCGGAGGCATCGTTGATCCCGCCACTTTCGCGGTCCCTTTTCGCGCCCGACTCCGTTGGAGGAGGCAGGGGCAGCGAGGTTTTGCCAGCCGCGGACGCGGCGGCAACGTGCTCGGTAGGAGATCGATTCTCCGCGCCCAAAGAGCCATTTATCATCGAGATGGCCGTCTTCGTCAACATCGCTGTTCGCTTGGAGCCCGATCCATCTCCTCCCTCGCATTCACGGACGAGCCAGTATCATCGAGGAACCTATCCTTGCAAAGGATGTCAGGAGAACCCCTTACAGCAGTGCCGGATGGGTGGATCGACCCTCTGTGGGGCCCTTTCGACGGGGGCGAAGACGCGCGGCTTATTGCCGAAGCCATTTCCATGGCGCAGTCGCGGGCCTGCCTTCCATCGTGCAACTCCTGTATCTGGATCGCGACATAATGACGGAACACATGAGGTATCTGTGCGCGCATGAGACTTCCATATGGTCGCAGTAACGATGCTCTGCGCAAGCCACTCGTTGGCAGCTGGGGACCAAAGTGCACGCTGTGTTCTAGTTATTCGGTCGCGGTTTTGCCCTTCTACGATCAGCTGTTGGATCGTCCCAGACCGCTGGCCTGTTTCGGACGAATGCGAATCCACTGCAATAGAGGAGAGAAGCTGGCGGTCATTTTGCTGCGCCCTGGTGGGATTCTCGGCCGCAGCCACCGCCTCAGTAATGCATCTGATCCCGGACAGGCCAGCGGCCAATCGCCGGGAATGAGCTTTACCCTTGCGTGTTACTGCGAAGCGTTGCTTGATTGGGCGCAATGCTTACCGCCTCGGCTCACGCCTTATCAATACTGTTCAGCCTGGCCCGGGTCGCATTAAGATAAAAGGCATCTTGTCTACCTGGAGACGCTGCGTGTATTCAAACTGATCACGCTTCGCAGTACGGGCCAAATTAACAGGTTCTGCATTGGCCAGATCGGTGTTCTTTCCCACGGGCCAAATATTCCAGTCGCCGCGCATCGGACAGAAATCTTCGCCCTCTTGGGATCAACGAAATTCCGAGCGAAGACGTCCACGGGCCCACAGTCCAGTGGATTTGAATCCGCGTCCATCAAAGAACTGAGTTCCGGATGCCCCGAAATCAAGCTGGTTTCGTTTGGGGTGATGACAGGGCCACCTAACCTCTCGACCAGTCCGCTGGCCTTCCTCATCATCAGAAGGCAAGCCACTGGGGCCCACGCAGGGCGGGCAACAGTCACGGAATCACATGCCCCCATCCCTCGCAGAGAACGCGAATGCCGCGGGCCAAACTGAGCAGTCCACAGCATGTCATGGTCTGTCGCCTTTTTGTAGCGAAGCTCCGTCCTCGTCAAACAACTGTGTTCTCATGTCTGCCTTCGCTGAGTGGGGGCTTCAGGGCTGGCCGCGTCGGCCATCGTCGCGCCGCGCTCAGTCGCGCCAGCCGCGGGGGCGGTCGCCGCGGGCGACTCGATGTCTAACGCGCGCAATCCAAAATTTTGCAGCACCCGTTGGTCCTGCCGCCAATGGCCAACAGAGTATACAGAGGCTCTCTCTCAAAACAAACGCATGAAAGCCCCGCGTCTCAGCTGATCGCAGCCATCGCAGACACCGCGTGCCTCATCTGTCTACGGGGCCTTCCCTAACTGCTCCAGTTGCTCCCCCGGGAGCTTGCAACTCGCGCCCCGCATCTTCTCGAGCGCTCGCCATTCGTTCCTCGCCACTTTGCAGCCAGAATGCATCGCATGGGGCCCATGTGCAGATGAGTGACATTGCAATCAGATATCCACCCGCGCTCTCTTCGCGCCATCAAACTGCGCGCCGTCAGCGGCAGACGCCCCATGGGAACCCGGGCGCTTCCAGGCCCGGATCTCGCCACCAGGCCCCAGCAATGGGTCGTGATCGGCACGCGCTCTCGAATCGAAGACCACTGGCATGTTGGCGCTTTCTGTTCCGGGCGTAGATGTGTTAAACAGCGTCGAGCATCCCGATAGAAGCAGCGCGGTTTGAGGCGCATTCCAGCCGTCGTTCGCCCTTGTCATCGTCAGCAAGGAGGACCGAAGCGCAGCCGGAGATCCTCCGGGGCGGCGATGGTTCGCGCGCTTTTTCGCCGCGTGGAACCTGATGCAATTTCGACCACGATGATGGGGGGGCCCGTGACAAACAAAAATGCGAAATTCATACTTGCACGTGTTCCAATATCGCGCTGTTGTGACCGCGCAAAGGAAATGCCGCGCGACGCTTCCATTCTCGTGGCAGTGAGGGCCCGTTCTCTTCAACGCGGGCAATAAGAGTGTCCGCAGATTGCTCGGGCCAACCAAGGGGCGTCGATTTTCTCCGCCAGGCGAGCTTTTTATCTTTCATCGCCGGCGCGCGCCTCTGCGCGACGCCCCGTCATTATCTGCGCGTCTCCCTCAGACGAACTGATGTGGCAGAGCGCCGGGGTCGTCGCCGCGAGGTAGCAAACCTCCTCTTCTGGGCCGGGGCCCCCCCGTGGTGACAGCGACAGCGCAGTTGCGCAAATCCCATGGCAATGATTATCGAGTCTGGCAGGTCTCACCGTCTCCCGCCGACGCTCCGCCTGAATCGCTATCCCTTGGGGCCGGGCGCCCCCTATCGGCGATGAAAGCGTTGCTGTCTGGGTCGGCGCTTCGAACAACCTCGCAGCGATCATGCGTTGCATTGCCGAAGCACTTCGCCTTGTCTGCGTCGCGCCTGGCGCTGGTGTTTTCAAGCGCCGCGCTCGCGCAGACATGGCGTGGCTCTGCCAGATCCGAACAGTGGCATCCAGCGTGCCTCCTCAAACAGTGAACCTTCCGACGGCGCGGGGCCGGCGACCATGGCGAGCAGCGTGGCTCTTAGATGCCTGTCTGTGGTTGCCGCGCAGGCCCCCCTGGAATCTGCGCTTCGCTGCGCGCCTCGCACCATCCAGATCTTCAGTCGCGTTCGGGCGGGAAGCTGCGCAGCCTGGGGCAGGCCGCTCGAACCGCGCATCAGCCGGGGCGACTGTCGGTTCAGCGGGGCGCCGCGACCTTGCCTGTAGACCTCAGAAATTACAAGATGCGGCCGCGAATGCCACGTGGAGCTCGAGCAATAAATGGGCACGGTTATAACCGCCTCGGCCACGCTCCAGGCGCAGTTCGTCATCTTCGTCGGTCGCTTCTCGTCCGCGTCCGCGTCGTCGTCGCCCCCCGGCGCCCTCGACGGGCGTCGAAGACAACGGATCAGGTTTGCCCTCGGCAATGCCCCCCTTGTGTTTCGTGTCTGGCGATGGGCCGCCACCCGGGGATTCGGGTGCAAGCCTGCCGTTTGCCGTGTGCCCAGCGCCCCCTGCGTGTCTCATGGTGGTTCTTGATAGCCATGTGTCGCGTATAGCCGAAAGCTTCTAGCGGGTTATCAGCGCGCCGAGGTTCGTCGGCGGCCTCCCTGCTGGCTGAGCCCTTCTCGGTAGCGACGTGGCCAGTGCTTTCTCACGGAGGGCTCCTTCTCTCCGCCCAGTTCGTCCTGCGTGTAGCGGAACGCTGGATTTCGTTTGGCCGCCTTCTTCGAGCGCGGCGACCTGCCCTCTGCCACGCGCGGGTTGTTCTTCGGCTGAAGCGGTCGCTATCCGCGCTGCGCAATCTGGCGTTCCCGCCCTAGGACTTTGTGCTCTCTTCGGGCGTCTTGGCGCGCCGTGTCCAGTGTCGTTCGGAGAGTTAGAACCATTTCTCGTGGGCAACGTGGGCAGCGCTTCTGAAGGGGCGCTGCCTTGTCCTGCTTGTTGAGGGCTGTCTCGCGCGGGTTGTTTGATAGTGCAACAATCGTGGCATTGCGTGATCTGGCCGTCCTTGTCGGAGAGGGGTTCGTCGTCTAACTATGCCCATGCCAGGGATACGTCGTCTGCCCCTGGCGCCCCCCTCGGCCTGCGCCGCGGCCGCCAATGGGCATCTCTTCGGGGGCGTCGTCGTTCAGTGCCGTGGCGAAAGTCTGGGCGCCCTCTCCTGCGAGACGACGGCGGCCTCCCCGACCTCCCCTGCCATTGCCCTCGAGGGTCCGCCTTGTATATCGGCTGACCCAGCGCGCTGGCTCGCGCGCGTAGCGCAGCGATCGTTGAGGTCGAATAGTCCTCGGGCGTGCTTGACTTCGGGGAGGTATGCGAGGTCGCTTCGCGTATATTCTTTTTTCGTGGGCCGATGACATTGTGTCCATCTCAATGCCGCAATCGTCTCCCCCGGTTGGATTGCCCCAGAAAGCGCCCGCTTGCGTCACCGATGGCGTCGTCGCAATAGTTGGGGGTTCCCAGGCGGTCAAAGTGTCCACGAGCGCCTTGGGGCCCCGGGGCGGCCGCGGTCCAGGGCCCAGCTGATGGGACTTCTGCCGGGGCGTCCCGCTGCCTGTCGCCTCCCAGCATATTTCCGCCGCGTGGGTGTTGGTCCTGCCGCTGCCGCCCATCAGTTGCGCGATGTTGCCTGGCGTGCGCTCGGCGATGCGTCGCCGGCGTCGGGCGGCCTACAGTAGACTGTCCCAGTCCTGATGCATCCGAGGCATCATGCCGCTGAGCGGCTGGAGCAATGATGCCGCTTCGCCAGGTTGGACGCGGAAAGCTCGAACCAACGTCGTAAATCGTGATTGGAATTTGTCGACCCCGAAGCCTGCGGCGTCGGCTTCCATCCGTGCGACTTCCCATTTCGCGAGAATGTTGTCGATCTTCTCGTTGAGGTGGGCTCGGACGTCCATGAGTTCCAGCGCTTGCTATAACTGGCGCCCACAGTCAAGACTCTCAAACCTCTGCGCCAAGTCGTGCGGCAGGTATGTAACTCTGTCGGTCCTCGCCCTGTTGGTCTCCGCGCCAAAGTAGATGACCGCGAACGGAATCCGAATAGCCATGGTGTGGGCAAGGCCTTGAAGACCTCTTTGCACGGCGGCTGCTTGCTGGAATGGCGTCATCCTGCCTGAGTGGACGTTGAACCAAGCGTATGCCCCGCGAGTCCACGCGCGATATTGTTCATTCGTAGCAGGGTCTCAGGTGGGACCTCTGGTCGGGTTTCCCTCCCGCTCCCGCATTGTGCGGCCGATGATCATGCCTATAGCTACGGCCGTGAACCCGTAGATGGTGAGGCTCAGGTAGTGAAAGCAATTGAGGCAGACGATGGAGGTAGCGGTTCGCCGTGATGTAGTGATGGTGCCGGTCATGTTTCCATGATCAGCAGAATGGAGAGAGGCTCGCGAGTCGGCGCTCCTCGATCTCGGAGATGTAGGGGTCGTTCGTGCCTCCACGAACGTAGGTTATAGAAGTCGTGGTGGAGGTTGTCGTCGTCGTGGTCGTAGCGGTGGAGGTTCTTCGCGCGCTCGAAGACAAGCTTATCCAGGTAGATGTTGAAGACGGGGAGGCCTTCTTGTGACGCGGCGAGTTTCCTCGCCCGCGTATCGCATTGGTCGCAGATGGAACAACGGTGACGTACTCGCTCTTGTACTTCGCCGTGCCGAAGGTGTCGACAAGCAAAGCAGCTGTGGCTGCGGCAACTCCGCTACCAAGTCGGATATGGGGGCGCCATCGCATGCTAGGACAGGATGTGAAGGTACGTGGTGCGAAAGCGGCTGCGGTTGGATGGGGGAACAGGCCTTTTCTCCCACCCAGCGCCTCAAATCAAACGCCACAGGCGACGCTTTTAAATTGGGCGGCGCCGCCTTGAGCCAATGCGGCGGCGGCCCAACAAAACAATGGATGTCCTCGGGGCATACCCTGAACATCCGTTTTCCGCTACGTGACATCCAAGGGTCCCAAGGGTGCCCCAAGACGGCCCCAACAGGTGCCCAGGAGGCCCCTCGAGGCACCCAAGAGTTCCACAAGATGCCCTCAAGAGGAACCAGGGCCCCCCCAGAAACACCCAACACGCCCCAAGAGGCGCGCGGGACTGGCAAGTGACCCCCAAGACGCTCCATGAGGCCCCCCAACAGTTCTCGAAAGACATCCGCAGAGACTCCGAGAAGCATCCAAGATGCCTTTGCCCTTTCTGGTCGCCTTCCTCCTCCTCCTCCCCCTCCTCCTCCACCCCCTCCTCCTCCTATTCCTCCTCCTCTCCCTTATCCGCCTATTCCTCCTCCTCCTCCTTTTCCTCCTCCTCCTCCTCCTCCTCCTCCCCTCTCCCTTTTCCTCCTCGTCCCCCTTTTCCTCCTCCTCCTCCTCCTGCTCCTCCTCCTGCTCCACCTCCTCCGATTCCCCCTCCATCCTCCCCCTCTTGAGGTATGACGTCTTGCCCATCCCTTTGTTCTGGTGCATGCTCTTCCACATCCCTGATCAGAGCAACTCGCCTAAGCATCTCTTCTGAGTGGGCTGGTGGGGCTAACCGAAGCGTCTAACGACAGTGAAGACGAATAGGGAGAGGCGGAGTATGAGGAGGCGCGGACTGGCGCCAAAACGCGCTGGAACACATAACCCGTGGCCGATTGAAGCCGACCGCGGCCGATCACCATCCAAACCATGGGTAATGAAATTTGTGCTCCCGTTCGGCCGCTCTGCCTCTCCCAATCTTGGCTCAACAACCCCGTCCCGTAACAAAAGCAACGTATCCCAACCACGTCACCAATCAACCGCCACTGCGACAATCTGGTGATGTTGCCGATCAGCCTGGTGCTGTCTCTCAGCTTCCGTCCTGCTCCTCGTGCTCCGCCCCTTCTCCTCCTCCTCATCTCCATCCCTCCCTTTCCCAATCGGAGGGGACGGTGCCGGGGGGGGATGGAGAAAAAAAACAGGAATATGACCAGCAACAGACAGCTAAACGAAAGGAACAACTCCCTCTCCTACCTCCTCCCTCCTCCCTTCCCCCTCCCGATCCTCCCTCCTCTCTCCTCGCGGCGCCTGCGCGGCCGCCCGCTCCACGGTTGCAGTGAGCTGGCTGTCGCCCGTGACCTCGGGCGGAGCAGTGGGAGATCGCCGCCGGCGGGCCGCCGAAAGGTGAGAGAGGCAGATCGATGGTAGACGGTGCCGTCGGAGGATTCACATCGCCGTCGCCGTCGATGGTGCGTCCCCAACAGGCCGATCCTCTGGGTGCCGATGTGACGGACAATCGCAAACATAACTAGGATGAACACGAGGAGCAGGGAGCGGCAGAAAAAGGACAAACGATGCCGAATTCCACAAATCCATTGCGTGAGAAGTCGCGCCCTCGTCCTCATCGGCAGTCTTCCTCTGCTCCTACCACTCTCGCTCTGCCTCTTGTTATTCACCCTCCTTGTCATCCTTGTGCTCCACTTTTTGCTCCGCCTCCTCCTTCGCGACCTCCTTCGCCTCCTCCTGGCCCCCGCCCCCCTTCGATCGGCAATGGAAAGGAGGCATCGAACCTACATCTGTCGGCTCCCAACAACCACAACGTATCCACATAATAAAACAACATGCTCAGGCAAGCGCTGTCGTAGATTTTGGTGGTTTCGTCTCCTGCCAAGAGATGCGTGCGCCCGAGGCTTGCTAAACTGCTGGGCAATCTTGTTCGATTCCCAATGTTTTGCATAGCTCCGCAAACGCCCCCCCGTCACATTTGAGCAACTTTCCAAATATACAGCGTCCGCGACAATCCTAACATCACCACGACTCAGTGTCGTAACCTTTTGGTGAGTGGATCTGTCCACATGCACCGTTTTCCCCAGTTCAGCTCCAAGCCATATTTGCGCTCCTCTTCAACGATAGCGACAACATGTTCTGGAGGTTGGATTGGTGGTGGAATGATAACAATGTGTCGTCGGCATCATAGGCATCCCGAGTGACCGCGTAGCCGGGCTCCTCGTCCAGGTGTAGCGAATCTAATCACTTCGTCGCGCAGCATGACAATCTGGACTGCTATGAATAAGTATGGAGGAACTGGGCACCCCTGTGCGATTCCAGAGTTCTGCCGTCTCTCGGTAGAGGCGCCAATGTGGTCTTGGATAACGAAGAAGCGGGCCAAGAAAATAAAGCGCACCGTCTCCACTATCTCGGCAGAAAACCCAAATCTTACCACAAGCTTCGCACATTGAACCCAAGTTTATCCTGTCATCCACATTCGGCTGTGCAGCATCAATCATGCGCCTCACTCGCATCAGGGCGTCTGCTGTTCCACATCGCGGGCGGAATCCGCATTGAGCGTCGCCCGTGCGTGTTTCGGTAACACCTGTCGATCGCCTCTTGTGTATGAGTGCCGCCACAATACTGTACCCAACTGAAGGTACTTGATGGGTCTGTAATTTTCTGGTGAAATTGCATCCCCTCTTAAAAAAATAGCCTGGCGAAGGACCCAACCATATGCAGTTGTGGGTACCGTCTTTGTGAGCAACGCATTCGGTGGAGCTCCCTATTGGGCCACGAAGCGCTGTGCTGGGTGTGGCGGGCGCATGCGCCTCCCCCCCCCCCACACACACTGGGGCCTTCGGTGGAGGTCCCTATGGGGCCTCGAAGCGCTGTGGTGGGTGTGGCGGACGCGTGCGCCCCCCTCCACTGGGGCCTTCGGTGAAACTCCCTATGGGGCCACGAAGAGCCGTGCTGGGTGTGGCGGGCGCATGCGCCCCCCCCCCCAGTGGGGCCTTCGGTGGAGCTCCCTATGGGGCCACGAAACGCTGTGCTGGGTGTGGCGGACGCATGCGCCCCCCTCCACTGAGGCCTTCGGTGGAGTTCCCTACGGGACCACGAAGCGCCGTGCTGGGTGTGGCGGACGCATGCGCCCCCCCCCCCCACTGAAGCCTTCGGTGGAGCTCCCTGAAGGATCACGAAGCGCCGTGCTCGGTGTGGCGGACGCATGCGCCCCCCCCCCACACTGGGGCCTTCGGTGGGGCTCCCGATGGGGCCACGAAGCGCTGCGCTGGGTTTTGCGGACGCATGCCCCCCCCTCCACTGGGGGTTTCGGTGGAACTCCCTCTGGGGCCACGAACCGCCGTGCTGGGTGTGGCGGACGCATGCGCCCCCCCCCATTGGGACCTTCGGTGGGGTTCCCTATTGGGCCACGAAGCGCCGTGCTGGGTGTGGCGGACACATGCGCCCCCCCCCCCACTGGGGCCTTCGGTGGAGATCCCTACGGGGCTACGAAACGTGTGAGAGGTGTGCCGAGAGCAAAGGCAAGGAGGGGGAGGAGGGAGGAGGGGGAGGAGGGAGGAGGGAGGAGGGAGGAGGGGGAGGAGGAAGGAAGGAGAGACGCGGGGCACCGTCTATTCAAAACGAGGGCCCAACACCACAGGATGGCTGGGAAAGCGAAGATTATTTTGGCTCGCCCCCTGGAATCCAGAATAAACTTCTTATCCAAACGGTGCTGACATAAACGCACTACTGGCACTGCTCTCGCACAGCGCCTTCCAGAGACCACAGGGGATCTCGTCGGGGCCCACTGCTTCTCAAGATCCGAACTTCTGCAAAACCTTCAACAACTCATCCGTTCATAGAACCAAATGTGCGGACAGGTAAAGTATCACCATGCGGTGAGGGAGCATCTGTTTGTAAACCAGAGTATCGCCTCTGCCATTGCACTGATTCGACATAGTTGGCCATGATGTTTGCCCGTTCGGCCGTATCGGATAACGTCCCATATGGTTACTTAATGGCTGCGTGTTCGACCGGCTTCGGCTTGAGAAAGTATCGCACAGCGTCCCATCCGCCTCTGCCCATATATGATTCCAGCCATATGTTGCGGTCTTGCTTGCTTGCTTGCCAGATTTGCGGGTCATCGTGTTGAGGAGCTTTTCGTTGGTGCACTTCCCTGTTCGACGGCAGATGCTTCGGTGCGCGACCAAATCGATTGTCAGCTGACCTGTCCACGGGTGTATGGGCTGTTCGTCCTTGTCTGGTAAAGTTGATGCTGCTTCATGGCAAGCTTGATGCATGTCTGCCGCGGCTTCCTCAACTGTGCAATTCTGGTTGTCTGCGCAAGCTGCGATCGTGAAGGCTCGCACGGAATACTTCTGAATCGCATGTTCGTTCAACAACGTCTCATCGACACGCGTCTTCCTTTAATATGCCTCCACTTTGAACTTTATCGAGGTGTTCGAAACTGTGAGAACATGTTGAGTGTTTAATGATATTTCTCGGCACGTCCATATATCAACACTAGTGGCGGTGCTGTCTTGACGACATAATAAATGTTCTACCTGTCCAAAAAATCCTTCACCTATGTCTGCCGGCGCTAGTTCACGCTAAACACCGCTAATCGACGCTAAACCGGCGCTATCTCATCGACTCCCAGACACTCATGGGTGCTAATTGAAGGTAGAGGCGGAATCAACATGATATACCAGGTTCCCATGATTGCAACCGAACTCCACCCTCAAGCGCCCTCCAAAGCGCCGCGCTACCGACTCCAAGTAGTCTGTGCTGCCCCATGAGGGCCAAAAGGCGGTGAGAGAAGGGCCGCCCTTGACAAGGTTACGACCGCTGCGACAGCGCCGACCTGGCATCGTCGGCGGGGGATCTGGAGAGGATCGTCAGGGAAGCATTGCGGTCGTTGAGGGGGGGGTGTCATCGTTGGGGAGGGTCGCCGTTTGGGAAGAGGGTCCGAAGGGCCTTTCGGCGGCGACGGCACCACCGTGCCAATGAGGCCTTCGCATGTTCAATCGTGGCGTTCAACTTCGACATTTTCCTGTCCGCTGACTCTGCTGCTACCTTCGACTGTATGGGCTATCCTACAACACGCTGGCCCATGTAACACTGTATTGACCCGCAGTGCTGTGGGGCACAACGGTTCAGCTCATGGTCCCTATGTAGACACACGGCTCTCGCACATTCCTCCCGTCCCCAGTCGCCCGTCGTCTCAGGCTCGACGTAGGCACAATGTCAGTGCCGCCATGCAGGTCCACGCTGACGACAGAATCAACTCCCTGGGGAGACCGAACGTAGCAAAGGAATTCTCTTCCAAATCACCATCTCGGGGACATGAAAATTGCGAGGGGGCGTCTGTTCGAAATTCACCCGGGGGGCTGATCACTGCGAGTCGTAGCCTTCTCTGGACTCGAATGGCTACGGCCTCCTCCTCCTCCTCATCCTCCTCCTCACCCTCACCCTCCTCCTCATCCAACCCTCCTCCTCCTCCTCCTCCTCCTCCTTCTCCTCCTCCTCCTCCTCCTCCTCCCCCTCCTCCTCTTGTATCCTTGCACATCCTCATCCTCACAACGGTCTGACCCCTTCGGATTTTTCGCCGGCACCCCAAGCTGCTGGCGATTCTGACGAGGGCGCACGCTGATCTGCCTCACTCTTGTCCTCCTTTCGCTCCTCGTTCTCCTCACCTTCCTCCTCGGCTGCCCCTCTCGTCCACCTTCTCCTTCTCTTCCTCCTCCTTCTCCTTATCTTCCTCCTCCTTCTCGTTCCACACTCCGTGCTTGAACTGAAATGGTCCTAGCGGATCTTGAAGGACTTGGCGAAAATTGGCGGCAAATTTCGGTGGGTCGCCGGGTTCGAAGGGTTCCTGGTTCCGGGTTCCCAGGTTCCCGGTTGCTGGTTCCGGGCCGACTTCGGTGGGCGGTGGGGTTCTCGGGTTTCGGGGTTCCCGGGTTCCTGGTCGATCTTCTTATCGATCTGTCTCACCCCATTGATCGCACTACCCACCTCTATATCGATCTCATTATATATATATATATATCACAATCGATCTCGCAATCGACATCACCATACATCGCACGTGCGATTTCTCGATCGATTTCACTACTGATCTCACTGAATCGGCTTCACTATCGGTCTCACAATCGGCCTTACTGTCGTCCTCACTATCGATCCCACGATCGACCCAACTATCGATCTCACAATCGATCTCAATATTCATATCACGAACTTTCCAATCATCTACGGGTTGGGGCCTTTCTGGTGCAATTATATTCCTTTGCCTTATCTTCTCCTTTTCTTCCTCCTCCTTCTCCGTATCTTCCTCGTCCTTCTCCTCATCTTCCTCCTCCGCTCCCCCTCCCCCCGTCCCCTCCCCCCACCTGCTTGGAGTCCTGCGCCTCCATCCGGGCCTGGGGCGCGGAGGCCGCTCGGCCCGGCCGAGGCCGAGGATGCGACGGGCGAGGCCGAAGAGAGGGGTGCCCAAGCCACACGCCAGGCACGCATGCAAACCACACGCGGACGGAGCGCAGTGCCCCCAAGACACCCGTGCGGAGATCCTCAGGCAGCATGACCGACCTCGGAAGCAAGGACTCTGGGAGACGTACGACTCGGGCGCGGGGGACTCGGGCTGGCCTGACGGGGCCATCGTGAAAATGATGAGAGCCAGTCTGAAATTCGACGCGAGCTCCCGCTGCAGACATCCCACGAAAACTGGACCGTGATCCAAGATGCGCTCGTCAGAAGCGCGTCGGCAAACCCGAGTTCCGGCGTGCTCGAGTCTGACGTCTCCCCGAATGAGCCAGAGAGCGTTGACACCTCCTTTGGTCGGGGGTTGGCAGAACTGGGTTTAGTGGGACCTGGTTTAGTGATGTGTACTGGGGGACGCCTCCCCCGCCCCGTTCCACTCACCGGACCTGCCGTCACCTGAAAAACGCCAGCTACGGCAGACCTGGTTTGGTGATACTCTGCCCAGTTTATGGGCTCCGGCTCCAGGGCCCTACTAACTACTAACCGGGTCCCCTCGCCTGGGGTCCTGGCTATACCCGATTTGGGGACGCATTTTTTGTTGGCTGCCGCTGGCCTTCTCGCTGGCAGACCCGCCGCCGGCTCCCTTCCCGCCTGCTCCAGCCTTTCCTTCCGCTGGGGAGGCGCGGCCAACTCCTTCGAAGCGCGAACGCGAGCCATTCCCAGAGCACTCCATTATTGTTTGCCTATTTTCGATTGTTTGCAACTGGAATATTCCAAACTCAAACAATCGAAAATAGGCAGGTGGAAACAATGAGGAGTATTCCAAAAGGCAGGTGGGAACAAGTAGTGGATACCCCCCCGCTCCTCCCAAACTCAAAGCTGGCACGCGCGGGGGAGACTGCAGCCGACGTGCAACTCATCAGACCCACCGCCAGCTTTGAACATTGGAGGGAGGGGGAGGCGTTGACCGATGAATGTGGCATGCGTGTGCGCTATTTTTCCGAGGCCTGTATTGGGCAGGGCAAAATTACAGCAGGCAAGACATGTTTTTCTTCCCGCATCGTTGCAGTTAACAGACCAGCAACTTCCAACGAGCCTGCGCCAGGAAGAACACGAACAATGAATATTGGGAAAGTGATCGTTTGCCGATCATTTGGTCAATCTGAAGAGTCGTGAGATGGACAAACTAGGACAGCGCTCGCGCTTCGCGCTCGCTTTAGGCTCTAGTCTAAGGCAGTTGCCTCATGCTGATCCTTTGCCTGCGCTACATATCATAATCCCTTTCGTGCCGTTTTTCATCGCCCTCCTCCTCTTGATCATCCTTCTCCTATCCCCAATCTTCCTCGCACTCATCCTCATCATCCGTTTCGTCCTCCACTCTCCTTCTTCTAGTTCTCTTACCTTCGACGCTTCTTTCTCGCGCATCCACAAAAAAGAGGGGGAACCAGTGATGGGTAACGTAAACCAAGAAAAAGACCAGAGAGGAAATATGGAAGAGAGGGAACGGAACAAATGCCCCCTGCGCCCGCTGGTGCCGCAAAGTGCAGCGACGGCGACGCCGCTGGCCCGCAGGCGCGCCCCAAGGGGATCACGTTTTGGAGGGAGGCTGCCCGGAAAGCCGCGAAATGACCAAAACACTGCCCGACATCAAGTTGCGCGAAAGCCTCCTTGCTCGTCGGGGGGGGCCTCTCGAGGGGCTCCTTGGCGGCCTGCTGGGGCCTCCAGGAAGCTATTGGGAGCATGTTCGGAGGCATAGCTGTCAAGATAATCACCCAAGACGCCTTTGGCCCCCTCTTGGTGCCATTTCGGGGGCCTCTTAGGGCCCTTATTGGGTGCCCACTGAGCCAACCGTTTTGGGGCCCTCTTGGCGGCCCATGTCCTGGCGAAAAGAGATGGTGCGGGCCGCGCGCGGGAGAGCGCGCCTGGCTGGAAAGGGGGTCCTTGAACATCTCAGGAGGCATCTCGGTGAGGGTGCACCGCGAGCTGGCATCGACGCAGCTGAAGGTAGGGAGCGCTGACTCCGCGCGCAAGGAGTCTGCGACAGGCGCACTCGAGTACCGCTTCCTGGTGGGATCGCGCTGCTCTCCGTCTGCTGCGAGTCCCGTGCCGGGGCGAATGGCGACGCCGGCCTCCTCGGCTTCCTTGCCCAACTCGTCCTGAGCCTCGGCGTGATGTGGGTCATCCGGGCGGGCTGGGACACGACTCCAGACGAGCTGGGGGGGTCGGCATCGTGCGCCTGGTGCGAGGGTCGCCGGCGGCACCTGAGGGCCCGACGTGCCGGAGCGGCAGTGCTGAGGCTCGACGTCGTCAGGTTGGGCGGGCAGGTGGCGACGATGCTGATGTAGTGAGTCTGCGGGGAGACCCGCCGACGGCCTGTGATGTAGCGGGTCGGGGCGCCACTCCTTCGCGGTCTTCAGGGCGTGGTCGGAGTCTTCGCCCGCCCTGAGGCGCCTTTGCATCCGCGCTCCCATCTCCATGCAGCCAGCGGGACTGAGAAGCCAGCGCGCCATGCAGATGCCCGTCCGCTTCAAGGCCTTGGACGTGCATCCGCTGGTCGGCCCCGAGATTGAAGGCCCGCCCTTCGCATGGAGCTGGCAGGTGGGCAGGCGCGCGGCTTGCCCGATCCATGGTGCACAAATGGTTCACCTTCGCGGAGCTGAAGCTGGTTCGCGACCAAGGCGTTGAGGAAGACCGAGCTCGCAAGCTCTCGGAGGAGGAGCCTTGGGCCGGCGGTCCGTGGGCTCGGGAAGACGGCGGCAAACGCTCGGCCGCGCAACAACCTGGCTCAGCGCGTACGGCCTGATGGAGAAGACTGCGGTGGCGGCGGCCCTCCGCCCTGGAGTGCGTGGTAGACAGGTGCTTGCTCGATGAAAGAAGCGGTTGCTGTGCGTGGTCGAGGAGCTTCTTCTGGGGCGGGTTGTCATTCGTTGGCTGCGACTGGCTGGGCTACGCCCGCTGCCTGATTGCGGGGTTTGGGCGAGGGGTCGGCTTCTCGGCGGCGGCGGCCAGCCTGGACCCCGAGCGCTGCTACTTACGAGAACGCGCGGCTCAACCGCCTCATCGGGGCGGCCAAGGAGCACCGCTCCCCGTGCAAGATGGCGAGAGGGCAGGCGAACCAAGGTGAAGGGCGCATCTTCAGCAGCTTTGCGGCGCGGGCGGCCGCCGTTGCGGGCTGCAGCGGCGCTACTTCGCTTGCCCGCCTGCTGCTGCCCTGCCCCCTAAAGGGGGCTAGCGCGGCGGGCCCCTGCGTTTCGCTGCGCAACGTCGTGGACGACGTCCTGGTGGATGCGACGGGCACCCGCGGCCTTGCGGTGGGACAGGCGACGGCCTGCGTTGCCGGCCTGCTCAGTGACTTCGCTGAGATCGACCCGCCGCTGGCCCGCGGCGAGAACAGGTGCCTCGCCCCCGACGCAGCCCAGCGTTCCCATACCTCCGAGATCACGATTTTTCGTGACGTGATCCCCAGAGGTCTGGGCCCATTCACCGGGACCGGTTTTGCAACCCGAGTAAATTTTTGACGGCCCCGAGGCCCAGTGAGGGCCCCCAGAAGCCGAAAATAGCCAAAAACCCGCCCGTCGTGATTTTTCCAGAACTCGAGGGCGTCTGGGTTAGCCGCGCACCGCAGCGCCGAAGCCGTGGCCCCCGCGTGCTGAGGCTGGCCCGTATCGCCCAGGCCACCTCTCCACGCGTGCGCGCAGCGTTAAGTCGGGCGCGTCCCCCATACAGGGGGATTTCGACGAAAAATTAAAAATAGAGAAAATGCCCCCAAGTGGTCAAAAAATACCCCAAAAATAGTCCCCCCGCCCCCCCCCCCCCGCCCCGCGGGAGCGGACCGGCACGCCTCCTCCTCCTCCTCCTCCTCCTCCTCCTCCTCCTCGTCCTCTTCCTCCTCCTCCTCCTCCTCCTCCTCCTCCTGCTCCTCCTCCTCCTCCTCCTCCTCCTCCTCCTCCTCCTCCTGACTATTTTTGGACTATCTTTGAATGTTCCCCCTGCAGAGGGACAGGCCCGACTTGAGCGCAGCGGCGCCCGACGCCGGCGGGCCTCCGCGCCTCGGGCTGTCCGGGTGGCCACGGGCTTCCTGGCGCAGTGCGAGCGGCCGGTCTCTGGCGCGATGCCTCGAGATCCTCGCCTTGAAGGGGCCCTGGGACACGCAAGCAAATGCACGCAGATGAGAGGACTCCCCACATTTTCCCTTATTTCCTGGGTCTTTGTCTCCCCCCCCCCCCGCTTCCCACATTTTCCCATCTCTTCTGGGGGAATCGACGATTCATTGTGTCTGTGTGTTTTTTCCCTCCTGAGCCTTCACCGTCGGATGGAGGGAATCCGTGCAACGCGTGCCTCGTTCATCTCGGCCCATGGCCACGCGTGTTCTGATCGCCAGTGGTTCGCAACTGCTTGGAGCTACTTCCAATCGCTTGGGCTTCAGGGCCACTCGGCGCGCGTCATTGGCGACGCGCATTGGAAGCCGAACTACGACGGCCTTCTCGGTTTAGGCTGGCACGGAGAGACTGCGCCTGACGGAGAGGCACCAGTTGCGACGGCAAAGGGTGCCGCGCCTACTCGTGCTCTCTTTGGGGAGACCCTCATGCTACTCCACCGGTGTTCCTCGGCGCGAAGCTGCTCTCGGGAGTTCGCAATCACGCGCTTGCGCGCTACAAGCTCGACATCAGCTTCGCCGCACTGCTTCGCTGCCGCTCGTCGAAGGGCGCGGCGCCCTTCCCGCCCCATCGGCGAGCCGACGGGCGACGAGCTCTGCCGCTCGGGCGAACCGCTCGACCAGGAAGCTGGGGCCACACTCGTTGGACCCGCGCACTTCTGCCGCGCCTCGCTGGAAATGCCGGCGCGAGCGCGCGGAGGCGGCCCTCCTTCTGGGCGCGGGCCATGGCGCCCTTGAACTCGCTCGCGGCCCCGAACGCTCGAAGGCGCCAGGCGCCTGCTCGGCGACCCGTGGCAGCGCCGGCCCGACGTCGGCCTGAGCGGAGCATTGCGCATCGACGGGCCCCTCGGTTGCACCGCCGATTGTCCCAGCAGCTTCGACGGGGCGCGCCGCCGACTCGCGCGCTCGAGGCAAAGCGCGTGTCTCGACCTCCGCGACCGCCGCGCTCGATGGCAGCGGGCTGAACCTAAACGGTGTTTCTCGTTTTCGTTTTGTTTTCGTTTTCCCTCGCTTTGTCTTCGATCCGCCTGTAACGCAAAACGAAGTCGAAATGAAAACGGCCCACGAAATCACCAAAAACACCGTTTAGGTCCAGCCCTGCGATGGCAGTGGGCGTTCCCACGCGCGCGGACGCGCTGCAACGGGACAGTTCTATTATCGCAGAGGAGAGCGCGAAGCTCCAGCGGGCGACGCAACGCTCGTGGAGAGAAGAGCTTGCAAGGTGGACTCCAGAGGTCTGGTCAGCAACTGCTCCAGTGTTGAGGCCTGTCCTGGCCTCGTCGAGTTGCGGAGTTACCGATGCGCGGCAGCAGTGGGAAGCTCAATGCTGACATTCTCCAGATCAGAATGCTGCCCATGGCTGTCTTCATCGATGGCAGCGACGCGCGGCAGCAATTGCCTTTCCACAGTCGAGCGAAGCCGATGAACGGACCCCTTTCCAAGGCCGGCTTTGACGAGGCGGTCAAGAGTTCCAAAGGTTGTTCGGAATTGGATGGTTGGTCTTCCAAAGAGATACGATTGCTTGCCAAGGTGCTCCCGCAAACTGTTCAAGAGCTTTCTGACTTTGGGTGGATGCTGCGGCACTTTGTGTTCGACATCGCGCATGTCCGCCTGCTGAAGTACTTCGACGCGTGTTCGCTCGGAAGATTGAGTGCCTCCCCGAAGGGCGAGAATCTGCCGTGCCTATTTCGGTCGGCAGTGTTCTAATGCGCATGTGGCTTCGAGCTCTCGCTGGACCGACGCCTGTGCCACCGCGCGTTCAGTGGGCGAATCGCAAGAATGTCTCTGTCACCCGCGCTATCGACCATTGGATCTATGATTGCGCGATGGGCACGGGCGGCTGTGAGTGAAGCGTCTGATAATATCAACCGCGAGATTGCAGGTGCCAGGGTGCAAGCGTCGGGCTTTCCTGCCTCCGTTGGCTTCACGTGCGCTGCTGCCTGGGCGGGTCCCCGCCGCTGCAGCATGAACGGGGAGATCGCAAAACCCATCGTCGACCCGTTCCGTGGCTTACCACAAGGTGATTCCACAGCACCTTCAGTCATGATTTGTACATTGACGCCGTGGCAGCCACGTGGATCCTCAAGATGTTTTATGGGCGATTGCTACCTGGTCGCATCATCCCCTGAGGCCATAAAGATGATCTTCGCATGACAACGCAATTCGACACGGACGCCGGCGACAAGGAGAACGCAAAGGAGAGACAGAGCTGCTCAGATCGGGATGACCCACCTAGAGAGGTTGAGAATCTGGCAACTTGACTTGACCCACAACTGCGCAGTGCAATGTCATAGCACGTCGGCGCTGGAAGAAGGTAATGATAATGGCTATCCTGGGATCTGTTCCTGGAAGCTGTATGGGTTGTACCCGGCCTGCCTTTGCTGATGTACGTCCAGTGTGGACATGGGCGTCGCTCATAATGACACCGCCGCCGGCCTCCACGGCCAAACGACTGGAGAACGCTATCTGGAGAACGCAAACACCGTGGTGGTGCTTGAGACGTTGGTGGCGAAAAAATACTTAGCTCCATCATGGGTACTCGTGTGCGCTCTTCGCCTTCAAAAAGCTGGGCCACGAAATCGTTTTTCTTTTTTCTGTATCAGCGCAATCAACGCAGAAACGTGCTTCGGATACCGGACTCAGCTGCGTCATAGGATCTGGCCAACTTGGGGCCTTGGTGGAAGTACCTGCGACAGGTGACCACCGAGTCTCGAAGACGGCTGCCAGTACCTGGCCATCGCTCGGACGTCCATTCCCTGTATTTTTTGGTCGGTTTCGTGCGTGTTTTTTCGCCAAGTGATCAAGGATGCTCCTCGATGGTCCTCGCCGAAGGAAAAATGCACATGTTCAAGCGATGCCAAGAGTACTATCGATGGGGGGTTACCAGGCAATGGACGGGCGCGGGCAACATTCCACGAATCCTGCACTGCACTGCGCGTGTCGAGTGCTTGCAGTCCGTGGCCAGGAGCCGAAGAGATGCAGAAGACGTTGGCGAGGTCGACGTTGAAGCCTGCAGTGGGGAAACAATTCCCAAACTGTACCAGTTCCTCAGAGAGCAGGACCGGTGCCATCTGTCAGATCTTCGGGGTGGTGCCGCCGCGACCGAGACGAGGCGGCAGACAGGACGCACTTGTAGTACGTGACGCTATGTGGCCCTCGATGCGTGCGACATTCTGTTCCGGGAGTGCCCGCGGTTTCGTGACCTTCGACGAGACCGCCTGACTGTCGAGTATGCTCGCCTACCTTGCTTCTGGACGTCTCTTCTGGATCATGTTCGCAGCTGCCGAGGCTGCCCACGTTCCAGAATGCTGATCGCATTTTGTTCAATGGGCATTGGCGTGGTAAGCCTGGGTCTAGATGAAATGCTCAATGATGCGGACTGGTGTCTCTTCGCAGCTGCTCCCGCAACCCGGCAACGGCTTCCCTCTGCGTCGGGGCGCCCAGGCTCAGGGGCATGCCCGGGGACACCGAGAGCGTAAGAGGCCCGCTGCAAGATCCGTGGTGGCCCCTGGGGGCGAATGGAGAGCGAACGTCGAGTTTGTTGTACAGATGTTACGCGCCCTCGCGCTGGGGGCACGGGTGTTCGTCCATGCGGCGTGCATGCTTGCAGCGAGGGACCCGACCGTGCGGGGCACGGGCACGGGTACCTTCGGGGAGGCGTCCTGCACGTGGGGCTCTGGCAACAATCGCTCGCTGGTGGGAACAGTGCGATCGGAAGGGCGGGGAGGGGAGAATGGGAGAGGCATGGGCGAGAAGGGGTGGCAAGCTGGGAGCGCCCGCGCCAGATCTGACAGCTTCCCCCTCCACTCGTCCTTTCCCATTGTGCTGATGTGGTTTCTCTCCGCGGAGGCGTGTCGCTGCGGACCTGGAATTCCCCAAAGGACCCCGCCGTATGATGCAGCATCGGAAGAGGGGAGCTGCGCACACAGGAGGACGAGGCGGTGGCGGATGAGCAGGAGGAGGCGGAGGAGAAACATGAAAGAGACGAGGAGCGAGGAGGGCAAGGACGAACGGCAGCAACAGGAACTGGAACACAAGGGGCGGGAGAAGCAGGGAGACCGCGGGAACGCGGGGGAGGGGCAGCGGGGGGGCGACAACGATGAGGACCGACTCGGATCCAGAGAATCGGCCCGCGCTGGGGCACGAACGCAAGTCTGAACGACGGGAGCAAAGCGCCGATCCTGACAGGAGGCCCACGCTGCAGCGACAGCACCATTTGGAGACGCCGAAGGCGTTCCGATGGAAAGCGCAAGCACGCCAGTACCAAGCGGTGCCCTCCTGTGTGCGGGAATCCTGCGCGGAGTGGGCGGGCTACTCCACAGCCATCAGATTGGGCACTTGCAGATTGGGGACTTGCAGATGGGAGGGAGCAGGACATTGGGATGGAGAGTGGGGACATTGGGAGGGAGCAGGACATTGGGCAGAGTGGGGGAGAGTCGTGTTCAGATTGGGCACTTGCAGATGGGAGGGAGCAGGACATTGGGATGGATGGTCCTGGGGAAACCCTGACAGACTCGCGGGCTGCCTGCCCCCCGCCCCCGCCTGGTGCAGCAGAGTAAGGTCCGTCCGAGCTTGTTCGTACCTCCCCTCCGCGCCGCGCCCGCCGGTCGCCAGGGCAGCTCAGCGCCCCCCCCGCCGACGCCGAGAGGGCGCAGAGGGGAGGCGATGGGAGGGAAGTGGAGGAAATAAAAAACGGGGGAACGGGCGATGGTTAGTCAAAGTCCTGGGGAGTAAACATGCGTAATTCGTTGACTGGTGTATTGGGTTACGGTGTGAAGTCGGTGGGGGGCATGTTTGGACCCTACTGATGGACATCTTCCTTGGCCGAAGGTCCATACAAGGAGTCCTCGGCCCCTTTCCAATGCAACTTGATGGCAGAAGGCTCAGTGGTGGGGGCGGGAACTCAAGCAGCCCAGTTGATGGAATCCATGGAAGCTGCGAGGGGTGTGAGGCCGATTGACGGTTCCCACCGGCGAAGCCTAATCACGGTCTTCGCCGAGGGGAAGCGGGGAAAAAGAGGGGTGGGGCGTACCGGCGATGCCGTGCGCGATGCGTCTTGGTCCTGAAGCGGGAATTCCCAGAAGAGGCAGAACACAAAAACGGCATACATAGTTTCGACCACGAACTGACTAGGCCCTGCGCGCTCGGTGTCCCGCGGGGGTGATAACGAATGCGCACGCTCACGCCCTGGTGCCAGTCTGTTGTGCCCCCAGGGGGCGGACCAAACGTGACGCCCCCCCCAGTGGCAAACCAAGGGCCCCGGGGAGGCAGAGGGGATGCGAAGAATAGAAGAAGGACGGGGAGGTGGCTTGCGAAGGAAGTGGGAGGTGACTTGCGAAGTAAGTGGGTGAAAAGGGAAGGGATTATGCGCACAAGAAGAGGGGAGAGGATAGAGGAGAGGATAGGGGGAATGAGGGTGGGAGGTGTAGGGAGAGGATGGCGGGGATGGGTGGAGGGATGACCTTGAACAAGAGTGTCAAAGCGGCAAACTGCAGACTGCGCCAACGCAACCATGCCTCACACGCCCCTTCAAGACAAAATAATATGCCAGGGAAGGCCCGTGAGGCGTAGTACTTCGACGTAGTACTTCGACGGCCCTTGTGATGGACATGATCCTCTGTGCGATACCGTGGGGCCGCTAGCGATAACGAAATCAAGCAAGCTTGTGAGCCACAGCAGGGAGGGTGCAGGACGCGACCTGGAACGAGGCCGACTGCGGGTCGCGCTGGACCCGCAGCGCTTCCACCTCGGCCCGGGAGGCTTCGCAGAACTTGGACTCTGCGGGGCCAGCATGGCCGATGGCGCTGCGCTCGTCGCAGCTACTGTCCGTGCTGCGGTCGACGCGGGCGCGCCGAGGCGCACTGCGGGTTCGGTGACGCGCTCGGCCATCTCCGCCGTGGCGTTCGCCGTGGCGTCGAGGGCGTCCGAGCCCGCCGCTGCCCGTGGTGCCGCGGCGGGCGGCGACGGAAACGCGGGGCGGCGCCGTCGGCCATATTGAGGATCAAACTGTTGAGCCTCGCCCCAGGCGCACGATGTGGCAAATGCGGATCCTGTCCACGTGGGCGAGTGCGACAGGGACGGCTGCCACGCTGTCCGCGCACGGCCTGAGGCCGCCTTGCCCCTTTCACACCTTGCCCTTCTCGGCGTCGACCAAGAGCGGGGGGTGGCCACGGCAGAGAGCGAGCCGAAGAGGCCACTCCACTGGGATGATGCCCAACTGTTGCGAGGAGAGCGGCATCGAGACTCCGCGAAACGGCTGCCACCGCCAACGTGGCAGCGCGCGGCTCGACAATAAACTCGGCCAAGGCCTCGTGAAAGCCGAATGCCCGGATCACAAGGACAAATGAGAGCTGATTCAGCAGCGGGAAGAGAGAGCGAGAGAGAGAGAGAGAGATATATATTTACAATTATATATATATATATATATGTATCGATATTCATACACGCACATCGAGGGGGAGAGAGAGAGAGAGAGGAATACTGAGCTATACATTTATTTATCTACATGTATTTAGGCAGAAAGAGAGAGAGAGAGAGAGAGAGAGAGAGAGAGAGAGAGCGAGAGAGAAACAACAAACAAACAAAGAGTTGTGCAATGTGCATGGTGATGGTGAGGGGTGAGGGACGAGGGAGGGAGCGAAAGCGAGCGAGAGAGATAGAGAGGGAGAGAACGTCGATAGTCCCCGCGCTATCCTCCTCCCCCGTCC